TTCAAAGCATACAAACAATTAAAAATATTGGTCTGCAATTACAAAGCTGTCTCCATGAGATACCAAAACACAGTTGTTCAAAGACTATAGTCCAAACTTGTCTACTTCTAACCCTAACATCACTCTCGATTGATATCCTATTGCTCTGACTTAGTGTTATGAAAAGCGCGCCTAGGCACTCGCCTAGGCGAGAAGCGAGGTGAGGCGAGACTAGCTCGCCTGGAAGATCCCAGGCGAAACAAACGTAAACAAAGTGAGAAAAAAACGAGAAAAAGCGAAAAAGCGTTCGCTTTTGTTATAAGACGCAAAATTTTTTATTTTTAATTTAGACAGTTGGATTGGGCGATTGCAAAAAAAATTATAAGACGTTGATGTACCTAATTATTCCCTTATCCTATAAATACAACCCCTAACCTAATTTTTTCTCAGATAGGCTTCGATTGGTGCTGCTGCTCCACTGCTACACGATCGGACAAGGCTTCGATTTTTTCTCGATTGGTGCTGCTCCACTGCTACGCGATCAGACAAGACTTCGATTTTTCACAAGCTGGTGCTGCTACAAGATCGCTGGACAAGGCTTCAATTTTTTCGCTGCTTCTACACCATCGTTGCTACTGGACAGAGATATCGCTGGTCTGGACTGTGGAGGTTAGTTTCTTCTTCTTCTTCTCTCTTCTATTTTTTTTTCTTCTCTCTTCTGCTCCTTCACCGATTCTGCTTATGCTCCTTTTTTTTTTTTCCTACTCTGATTCTGCCCTATTCTGCTCTGTTTTTTTAATTATCTGCTGCTCCGATTGTACTTTTTTTTTTTTTTTTTGTGTTTATGCTTCTATATTTTATTTTTTTTTGCTTTTTCCTTATGTCCAGTCTAGTCTATATGAAGATCCCACAAAAATCTAAGGAGTTAAAACCAAATGTAAGCCTAGACAAAAATAAAAAAAAAAAGTGAATGAAATGATCTGTTAAAACCAAATGTAAGCCTAAACAAATCCCGTTGTCCAGTCCAGTCTGTTATTTGGCTATGTCATGAATGGGATTTCAGATTTCTTCATTGAATACCACTTCTTGGCAACTAATTCTAATTCTGATTTATTAGGTTGTTTGACAGGTCCAGTTATTATGGACATTGTAATTTGTAGGAGTTATACTAGTGAAGAATTTGTTTACTTTTAATCACATCTAAAACGAGAACAAAGAGGTGCATTTCTCTATCAAAAAGCATGTAGTTTGTGATTGATTGTATGCATCCAGACTCCAGAGTTTTATTCTATAACTTATAATCAACAATGGCTAATAAAAAAAAAGAAGCATTTCTAGGCTGTTTTGTTATTAACATAAAAGAAACTTGCAGTGTACAATCAGCATATAGAGCACTCAATTTCAAAGTGTGGGTGTTTGATATCGATCATAAACCTTATGGTATTTTTTTCTTCTTCTTCATATTGATGGATTTTTTGTCCTTGATATTGATGGAATTAAAGGTTTAAAAGAATTATATAAACAAATGAAAATGCAAGACTTAATGCATTCAGTACAAGTTGAATTGTTTACATGTGAAATATGAAATTATTTACAACGTAATGCTTCTGATTTTTTTTTTTGTGTTGTTGTCCTGATTCTACTTCTGTCCAGTCAATATGAAATTGCTCCTGTGCTGCTTCTGTTTTTTTTTCCTCAATCGTCTGTTTTTTTTTTGTTGCTACATTCTGCTGCTGTCCTGATTCTGTTTCTTTTGTTGTCATGTCCTGTCAATATAAAATTGTTTACAACTGATATGAAATGTGATTCAGTACATGTGAATGTGTTTTGTTCCTTTGATTGTAGTGTGATAGTGTTATTCATAAACAAATAAATGACATCGTCGTCCGAAGGGAACAAAAAAGATCTGGCATGAAAATATGCACACTTGGTAAATCCTCAATACACAAACAAATTCAAATACAATTTTTGTGGGAAAGAGTCAAATGGAGGTGCCTATCGAGTCAAGCAACACCTAGCGGGAAACTCTACGAGTGTTATTACTTGTCCAAAATGCCCTGCTCATGTTAGGGAGGAGATTAGAGAATACATGGCTAAAAAAAAGGAAGAGAAGAATCTAATGAACATGGTTCTCGACTTTGATGAGATGCCTAATAACTTGGAGGAGGATGAAGATGATATTGTAGAGATTGTTGCGAATCGTAAAAGATCCATGACTAGTTCTAGTCAAGGTTCTACACAAGCCACATCGAGACTAAAAAAGCCAAGACAAAAAGGGCCTGTGGATGTATACTTCACCCCTGATCCAAATGTTGTGGTGCAAAATCGAAAGACCAAGGGGAGACAAACGAATATTGATGCCAACGATCCTTTTAGAAAGGAAATGAGAGAAAGAGTCATCACAACATTTGCCCGATGGATGTATGACACGGGAATTCCCTTTAATGTTGTGAACTATGAAAGTTTTGCAGCAATGGTTGAAGTTTTTGGACAATATGGTCATGGTTTGAAACCCCTTTCTTACCATGAGATTCGGGTCCCATTGCTCAACAAAGAAGTAGGGCATATAAAGTCATTGATGAAAGATCACCAAGAGGATTGGGCAAAATATGGATGGACTGACAAGAGAGGGAGAACCTTGATTAATTTCTTAGTGAATTATCCAAAAGGGATCATGTTCTTTAAATCTGTTGATGCTTCTGCTTACTCAAAGGATGAACAAAAAATGTTTGAATTGCTTGATAATTTTGTGGAGCGTATTGGTGAAGCTAATGTGATTCAAATTGTCACTGACAGTGCGGCAGCAATGTGTTAGTAGGTATGAGCTTCTTGAAAAAAAAAAAGATGACTACTTGTTATATTGAATTTTTTTACGCACACTAGTTGATAAAAAAATCTTTATTTAATAGGTAAATTTTGGAGGCAAAACGACCCAACCTATATTAGACGTCATGTGCTGCCCACTGCTTGGACTTGATGTTGGAAGATATCTTCAAGTTGCCAAACTTCAAGAGAACATTTGAAAGAGGAATAGCATTACACGGTTATATTTATAACCGTCCAACTCTATTGAATATGATGAGACGATTTACCCAGTCAAGGGAGTTGATTAAACCCGCAAAAACTAGATTTGCTACGACTTTTCTTACTCTAACAAGGATCAACCAACAAAAAGGTAACTTGAGAAAAATGTTCACTTCAAAGGAATGAACTACAAGCAAATGGGCAAAAGAACAATAAGGCAAAAGGACAGCACAAATCATTTTAATGTCTTCATTTTGGAGTAATGTTGTCTACTCTCTTAAGCTTACTAGCCCTCTTATTTGTGTGCTTCGATTGGTTGATGGTGAGAAAAAGCCTCCCATGGGGTACATTAATGAAGCTATAGACCGGGCTAAAGAAGCGATTGCTAATTCTTTTAATGGCAATGAAGAGAAGTACAAACACATCTTTGAAATCATTGACCGAAGATGGGAAGTTCAATTACATCGGCCTTTACATGCAGCTGGGTATTTTTTGAACCTAGAGTTTTTCTATTCCAATACAGAGGTTGAGAAAGATCAAGAAGTCATGAATGACCTATATAAATGTTTGGAAAAGTTGGTCCCAAATCCTGCGATACAAGATAAAATTGGTCAAGAGTTAAGTATGTACATGAAAGGTGAAAACCTCTTTAAGTTGCCCATGGCAGTTACACAAAGAACAACGAGGGCACCAGGTAATCTATGTTATCCCACAAGCTTATTTCATTATCATTGCTTAAATATATTAGTTAATTAATTATTATTCATTATTCACAGCTGAATGGTGGTGTGTATATGAGTCTGCAACTCTAAATTTGCAAACCTTTGCAAAAAAGTTTTAAGCCTTACTTGTAGTGCATCCGGTTGTGAGCAAAATTGGAGTGTGTTTGAGCATGTAAGTATCATCCTCAAACCTCTTTAATTACATTTTTTTTTAATCTTATTATAAATTTTAATGTATTGTTAATAAATTATTGCAGATACACACCAAAAAAAGAAAGAGACTAGCTCAATCCCGTCTCAATGATTTGGTGTGTGTTAAGTATAATAGAGCTTTGAGACGCCGATATGATTCCCGTGACACAATTGATCCAATATCTTTGAAGGATATTGATGATAGCAATGAATGGTTGATTAGGAGAATGCATGCAGACACACATGAAGATAATGAGCTTGTGTTTGGTGATGATACTTTGACTTGGGGCGAAGTTGCTCGAGCTTCTGGAGTTACGGAAAGTAGCCAACGGACTAGATTAATACCATCTAACACCAAGGTTTACAAGATCGACGACTGGACTCATAGATGGGGAAGACATAATTTCAGATGAGGCAGAGGAGGATACTGAGGGATATGAATCTAAGGATAATGAAGAAGATGGTTTCTTTAGTGATGAGAATTGATTTCTAAGTCCTTGAGATATTTTCTTTAGTTGCTTGAATTGTGTGTCTTATGTTTTTAAATATTAGGATTTGAGATATTATTAGTGTTTGTATGAATTTAAATGTTTAAGCTATGACTGTTATTAAGATTTGCAATATTATTAGTGTTTGTTTTAATTTAAATGTTTATGATTTTACTTGCATTTAAATATTTAGTATATATAAAATTAGAACTTTGATGTGTATAAGTAATTACACTAAAATATTTATTTGTTTTTTTAACTGCTCGCTTTGCTTTGGTAAATCGTTTCGCTTCGCTTCTCGCCTAGGCGTTAGGAACCTTGGTCGCTTCAGTTCGCTTAATGCCTTAAATAACACTGCTCTGACTCATTGGTGCACTAATAACAACAACAATTCTGACCCTGCTGATTTCTAGAGAACAAGAACAAGAGAACAATAGACCTACTATGAATTCTGTCTTGTTATCTAACAAAGTAAGCGAATCTATAGGTATATAACATTATAAACTAATATTCCAAAAATAAAAAGACAAGAAGCTATTGAAAAAGATGTGTATATAAAGGATCCAAGCCATCACAGTTTGCTTATCAAAACATTATGGCAGAAGAAGTGAAGGTTTTCAGGACATGGTCAAGTCCATTTGCCCTGAGGATAGTTTGGGCACTGAAACTTAAGGGCATAGAATTTGAGACCACATTTGAGGATCTTGACAACAAGAGCCCTCTCCTCCTCCAGTACAATCCTGTTCACAAACAAGTTCCAGTGCTTGTGCACAATGGAAAGCCAATATTAGAATCACTTTTAGTTCTGGAGTATATCGAAGTCGCATGGAAGCAAAATCCCTTACTACCTGAAGATCCCTATGAGAAAGCTACAGCACGTTTCTGGGCAAAATTCAATGATGAAAAGGTAAAGAAAACACAGTTCTCACACAGATATAGGCTGACTTGCCCTGAACAAGAAATAACAATCAAGGCTTTGATGTATTTTCTTAAGTTCAATTTCATAATTAACATCTCTTATGTTAATGAGTACACTTCAATGAGGGAGGGTGGACCAGATATCAACCTAATTTTACAATTTCAAATAAATTGGTATCCTCAAATTTAAACCCACAACATTATGGTTGTTCATCTGACACTTTTACTACTGCACTAGGCAACCTATTTCATTACAACTTAGTTCATTACATAAACTTCTTGCATATAAACGAAAAGATTGTAGAGTACACAAAACTAATGCCTATAGCAGCTGGGAGAGAGGGGTGTAGGTTGTCTAACACCAGCTGACTTTCGGACTTGAACCCACAAAAACTCATATGGGCAAATTAGTACTTACCATTGTTCCAGATCCAACCTCCAGGGGTTGAAATCTTTGAAATCATACTCTATGATTGACATTTCTGACTAGCTCACAAAGTGACCTATGTTTTTCTCTTGAATGTAGCTTTTACCTTCAGTATGGCAGGCTTTCATTAAACAAGGAACAGAGCAAGAGGAGGCAATTGTTCCAGCTATGGAGAACCTGAAATTGGTAGAAGAGCAGCTGAAGGGGAAGATTTTCTTTGGTGGAGAGAAAATCGGTTTTTTGGATCTAGCATTTGGTTGGATAGCTAATTTCATTAGTGTCCTACAAGAGGTAACTGGTCTAAAGGTGATTGACTCGGAGAAATTTTCACTGTTATCAGCATGGATGGAGAAGTTTTCAGATGATCCAGTAATCAATGAATGCAGGCAACCTCAAGACAGGATAAGCCCCAAGTTCAAAGCAATGCATGAGGCATACCTTGCGGCGGCTGCACCTAAATGATCCACTTTCTCAAGCTATTTCAAAACCTTGAAGTAGGACTTTCAATGGATTGTGTCGTGTTTTTTTCCCTGATCTTACATTTCCACATAAATCTGTGTTCTTGTGGTGTTTGTGTTTTTGAGTCTTAGTTTTCTCGTTCTCTTGTTATCACCTATTGGATGGAAGTTAATTCCTAGCAGAGGGCTCGTAGAATTGTTTGAACAAAGATCCAATGATAAACCTCCCCACTAAAGATGATGTGCTTCAGTGTGTGCACGTACCTTGAAGGACTTTACTTGAAATTATGCAAGAGGGTCCTATCTTTGGTGTTTTCAAAGAATAAATGGCACGATAATCTCATTATCCAACAAGTTTGAGTGAGCACCACAGGTTCTATTTTCCCCGAGTGATTTAGCAACAAAATGATTTATATTGCACAATGCACATTCTGTTTATTTGCTTTTTCTGATCTCCATTAGTGCCATTTAAACTTAATGTTGTTACATACAGCATGGAAAAGCATAACATTTTGGTATGATAAGACAAGTTTAAGCATCAACATTGTTCATTGTTAAAGTCCTAGTAGACTCCAGATACACTGATAAGGCATGTTTTGAACAAGATCAAAATTTCATCTCGGTGTATTGTTTCGGTCACCAAAGAAGTGGAAACGTTTCAATAACATAATGAAAACGAATAAAAAAATTGAGAATTTATATCCAAAATATTTTAAAACATTGATTGAAATAGATCAAAATATCTCAAAACATTCTGTCAAAATGGTGAAAACATACCGAAACATGGCAAAACATTCTGAAAACAGTGGAACTTCAATTCCATAACTAATTCATTTTGATCTCCTTGAAAATAGAAACATTTTGGACGTTTCAAAACGAAATTTTGATCCTTGGTTCTAAACAAAGCAAGCTGAATATAACAAATCATACTGCAATTTGGATGTGATCATACACATAGTTACGTACCATTAATTTGCTTCATTCCTAGAGCAGGAAACAGACTGCAATAGTAACAACATAAACCAAGCCCTATCTCACCTTTTCACAAGACAAAAATGAAAGAGACAAATGCAGCAAAAAATTGTAGAACTATAGTTGAGAGCATCTGTTATATTTATCCGTAAGATGAATATGTATTACTGCATTAATTCTACACTATGCAAAAGATCAAAAGAATTCTCATTTTTACCTAATGGGTTATGCGACAAAAGAATTGTTGCCTGCAAAACATTGACAGAGAAGAGTACAATTTATCTATTGCACCCCATTCCTTAGTCCACCTCTTTTATTTTACTCCAGATTAATTTTTAAAGCTCTACACGAGGAAGAAAAATAAATATCAAACAGCAAAACAGTAACAGGACAAATGACACAATGACACAATAATGGTTGTCAAGCAGAACTTTTCCAGAAAAGGAAACAACTATTGCATGAATGAAACTAACGAGTACCTGCCATGCTTTTTTTCTCATCCCCACCCATCATCAATTAGTCACGCTCACTTGATTAGTGGCTTTGCATAAAATCTTTAGCTTCTGGTGGAAGTCCTTCCCTACAACAATCTACCTCAAATCATGAACAAATCTCACCTGCAATACCAAAAGTTGGAAATATTCCACGCACCAGGTGCCAATATGAAAAATTTCACGACTCTCATGATGCTCTCTGGATAGATAGAATTTGTGGAAAGTTCCTTACTGATTACCTAAAGGGGTGCACTGTCTTGATTCTACAAAGTTATTTTGCACCATGGGTCCACACCAATTAAAAAGGTCCAGGGGAGTAATAATTGTAAGGTCATCAAGTACAATCTAAATTCATCTTGGGATCCAACAATTCAAGCAGTTCGGATCCGAATTCCATCAGGATTTTACTTTTCAGGTTTATATGCCCAGTCCAGATTGATTTGATATCTTTGGAACACCCAATTGTAGAATCATAAGATCAGGATTGGGATTCTAATAACCACAGTTGCTATTGAATTGTCCAAGTCCTAGCACGTCGAATAGGTTCCAAAGTCTCAACCAGCCTCACAAGTGAACCATGAAGCAAATAAAGCACCTTTAGACACCCTCATCGTCTTCCTGTGATGATCATGTCAAATACCATTTCCATGTTGTAACTGCTAAACTAAAATGTACTCATGGATGCATTCTCTCTTGCTTGGAAATAGAATTTGGAAACAGGTTCTAAAATAGGATCCAGTATTCACAATCTGAGGCATTTCACAAATGCTAAATTTTCAATGCTTCCACCCAATAAATATTTGACATTTACCCAAAAACCAAACTATGCTAAGCAAGGATCAAAATATCGTTTCGATGTATTGTTTCAATCACCTAGGAAACGGAAACGTTTTGACGTGTTTCGGAAATATAATGAAAAAAATAAAAAATTTAAGAATTATTTTTCTAAAACATTGATGAACATATATCAAAGTATCTTGAAATATTTTGAAACATTCCAAAACAATTGTGCAAATACATTAAAATATTATAATACATTTAAAAACATCATGGAATACCTTGAAATATCAAAATTTTGATTTCATCACTATTTCGTTTCGGTCTCCTTGGAAACGGAAACGTTTCGGACGTTTCGACCATTTCGAAACGATATTTTGATCCTTGATGCTAAGAAACAAAATCTTTATAAGGCATTTCATCAAACAAATTGTGCTCTCTCTCCAACTCATTGAGCCTCACGTGCATAGTAATCAAATCATTACCAATATACATATCCAAGCAAAATCCCATTTCCAATAAATAATCATGAACTAATTTTCCCATCTCACAATCTAATTAACAGACACAGGCATTTAGAAACAGAAAGAAATGTATCCAATTAATTTTCACATCTCTGTGTAAAATCTGATAGCCTTGGATAACATCCAATTATGGTTCATAGCCATTGTTTTGTTACTATGTGAAACTCCGCAAAAAACTGGCAAAACAGCAAGGGGGTCTTTGAATTGGGCGTGTTTGCTCATGAGGTTGCTAAGAAAAAGACAGACTGGTCGAATCTCAAAAGGCATTATAAGCGAATGGACTTTGTGGAGATCTCCAGACTGACTTGGTGAAGGACAGTGATACTGTTTTTGAGAATGTGACGTTTGATTTCATAAACCTAACTTGCATAAGTTTGTTGTTTTCATGAGGTGAAACTGAGGTTTGGTATCTATAATTTGAATGGGATGCTTAACTTCTTTACCGTTGGAAATGGTGTTTGGTCACAGTCTTAGCAGTATCCCGTGCCCTTTCAATTGGATCGTAAGTCAGGATAGTGGCTAAATAGGAAAACTTGGTGGTCAGGTTGAGGTGATCAAAGGAAAATAGAATTTGTGTTCATTATATCTTCAATTATTGAAATTTATATCTTGTGGTTGGGCACGTGATCATTTCCGTTGGCAAAAAATTGCTGGAAAAGTGATAAATATATGGCATATTAAAAGTTTATGCCCCTTTTAGGTGCAGAAATCACTTTTAGGTTACATATTGACAAACATAATTAATTGAGAGAGAGAGAGAGAGAGAAAGTCACACTAAATTCTCTGCATATAAAATTGCAAAGATAAAAAATTGTGTCTGATATTGATCACTGTTTGGTGCAATCCATAGGCTTAAAGGTAATCATCTTCTTCTTTAGGTCATAGCCCACATAGAAGTTCATCTGTGCCAGGTTACCATAAATGGCGATCTCTCCAGCTGGGGCAAAACCCAAGCATATGGAAAACAAGCTAGTCCTAACAAAGGTGTTCAATGGATTCAACTTCAAGTCTCCACCCCTGAAATGCACAGTAATAATAGGTATGGAACTAACATTCAACTTAGAGTAGCACAAACTTAGGATCAATTTCGGATCCTTGACCGGTCGGGCCTTGATCGTACTTTTCACGGCCGACACTAACCGGTTGTAGAGATCAGGTGGAAGGAGGGTCAGGGTTGAACCAGAGTCAATGACGATGTTACCGGCCTGAGCTAACTTAGAAGTATTTGATGAGGCTGAGGACGTGTAAAAGTCCAGCCTTTTGTTTGCAACACTGATTCCTTCCAGTGTCAAGAAATAGAAAGAATATGGGGATTTTGAGACTATTGGAGTTGAAACCACCCCACGCCCTGAAACCACACCACTGCCTCCAAAGTTCATTTTGCTGGCCTTGGTGTTTTGGGCAGACATTGGCACCAAGCAATAAGAAAATTTGCCTGCAATGGAAGATCCCATCTGTGAGATAAGCGAAACTTGACCACCTCCGAGGCCGACTATGCCAGCTCCAGCATCGCTGAACGTGCCGCCGTTGTCATGTCCACAACCAAAAATCATGTCGCGGAGGGTGGTGGAACCCAATTTTACCGTTTCGGTGGCGAGATCTCCGTGACTGAAAGATTTGTCTCCATAACTGACTGAGTACTGGCAAGTATTCGTAGTTGGGAGGCAAGAAGTTCTTGGAAAAGATAGGCATTGTTTTGAACTACAAGGTACCACTTTATATGAAGAAGAACTGTTTGGACTGAATAGAGAAGGCTTCTGGTTGTAGCAACGAATACAGGGCTTGCATTGTGTCCATATAAGGTCACTACCAGTATCGACAATTACAGGAATTTGAACCGGTGGGGTCCCCATGGATATCTTCATGATATATTCTCCACCATTGGGGATTACATTGGCTGAAGCTGATTGGGTAGAGAATGACATGAGATGATGAACACGGGAAAATGAACGTTGCAAAGCATTGTTCAGGCATTGTGAAGGAGTTAGAGAAGGGTTGTGGAATGGAGATTTTGGCGAGTCTCGGTGTATTAGATCCACAGTGAAACCGCCATTGTTAGCTTCTGTGATGGAGAATCTAGAGACAAATATGATGGATATTGCAAGAGATATGGAGAAAAATGAGTGAAATGATACCATGGTTGCCATGGTTCTTTGAGAGAGGGACAAGAAGTGAGCATGAGGTTGGCTTGTATGAAGATTAGAATGAGCATTTATAGTAAGAAAAGATTACTTGGGATTAACTTCAATTCTAGATTTTTTGGGGTATATCTATATAATAAAATACAAGGCATTTCAAATTTCCAAAGACATAAAAAAGACTTTTGCATTTCTCAGTTCCGATAATTTTTAAATTAATCCAAAATCAATCTAATGGCTAAAAATCATTGTTGAAAATTAAGTTCCGGGCTAATATATCTCACACGTCTTTACTTTTTGCCCCAAGTGTTGTCTGCTCTCACGTGATATCTACTGCCCTCTCACGTCTCCCACTCTCTCATTTCTACTGCACTCTCCCATGTCTCCGTCTTTATCACGTCTCTCCTATCTATTGCCCTTCTATAATTCTTCTTCCTCCCTCTCTCGCATCTCTCTTACTTGCAGCTCCTTTGGTTTCATTATGAAGAATGGTGACGTGAGCCATTTTTTTAAAATAAAGATTTGTACTTATTATTTATTATTATTATTATTATTATTATTATTATTATTATTATATAAATTGTGTACATCTATATAATAAAACAGGAGTGTGTTTGAATTTTATCTCAGTCATATTTTTCCCCTCAAAATCATCACCAATCACTTACCTCACTTATCATCTCTTTGTCAGACTCAAACGTCAAATCACATTACTCATTTCTATCACATATTTAATCATTTATATATTTCTTCCCTAAAAATATCGCATCATGCATTTCTATCATATATTTAATCATTTAATATTTGATTAATTTGTAGTTAATATATTTTAAAAAAATTTAATATAGTGAGATCGAGTTTTTGGACATTTGAATTTTATATTTTATCGTGCCTTCAGGCACGGGTTATGACTAGTAGATTGATATTGTCTAAGGGTCGTATTGTCAGAGTATATTTTGCCAATTTTATTTTAAATAGTGGGTCTATATTTAGTGGTGACTTTTTTTTTGTTATACATTGCTTTCAAGTGTAATTTATTTTTATATAATGTCTTTAGACACGGCAATGACTAATAATCGATATGATGTACATTATGTGTATATTGTTAGAGCTTATTTTTATGTTTTATATTTATATTTATGAGCATAAACTAGTGTAGGGTAATATTATATTTCTTTCAGTCTCTTCCCCCCCCCCTCTCCCTCTTCCTCCCTTGTCCTTTCTCTAATAAACCCTAATATCAACTTTACATTTTAACTTAGATGATTTGTTTTTATTCGATTGTCATAATGACGTGGTATTACTGTTGATGAATATTTACTCCAACTTGAGATGATATGGTGAAGAGTAAATCCTAGATATGCTTGAAAGGTTAACATAAAAAATCCTTGAATTAATGATGTTTTGGCCACAATTAACAATGGCATGTATGCATTTATGATGACAAAAAGCAACACATATAATTTTTCCACACAAGTATTAACAGCAACTCATGTTAATTACTTGAATAAATGACAAATCTAAAACTCAGATTACAACTTAATGACCAATATTTAAAAAACGAACTAATGATTTTTATTAAACACTAGATTTCAATTCATTCCACATGTCTATCACTATATTATGAAAAGTCAACAGAAAGAAATCTTCAGTTCAAAACTTATATATTGACATTATCCATGGTCATATCGTTGATACTATCACAGCGCCGTATCATATTTAGCCCACAATTTTAGTTGATTTTTTCTTTTCTTTTTTTATTTCCCTTTACTTTTGGACAAGAAATTATCGGTCTACCTCTCCACCAATTATTGGATGAAACTTTCACATTACCCAGAGCTTCAACCCAAAGATGCGGCTATTTAAGGGAATCGTCAAATAACCTCTATGTAGAGAGAATACCTACATTCTTAAGATAAGATCTCTCCTACTCATACAGTACTAAGCTAGGCTTTGGCTTCCCAAGCTTATCGAGCAAGACCTCAGCCTCCATTCAGCCTAGACAACGCCATGTTCATTTAAGGTTACAGTATTTGCTTCCAAAGCTTGCACCTTAATCAAGTTGGCTCCGCACATTCACAGCCATAATGGATAGTATGCAGTATGGAAAGTAATTAAAAAAAAACCTTGTGAAAGCAGGGACTACATTTTGGTGTTTCCTGAAAAGAGAGACTCCCAAATCAATTGAGACCCAAAGCTCACATGACAACATATTCACTACCAATATCAAAGCAAGATTCAACACTTGATGTTTGAGAAATAAGAAACTAAGTAAATATATTATGCTTCATTTCAATCCAATCACTGTTTTCTAAGACAGAAGATAGCAATTTCAATTCCACAAGGAAGGAAAAGGCACTATTTGGTAGATTCCATACAAAATACAAATTTTTTCACAAAGTGATCTCCACACCTTGCTCACGAGCAATGGAAGCCGAAAGGATTCCAAGATCACGATTCAGGAATGTTAATGCAGTTTCACACTCCGAGATTATTCTCGTGACAGAAGAAGGCTCACCAGCAATTGTTTCAGATAACCCAACAGCCACTGCTGCATGTGAGTTTCGAAGATTCTTTAGGTTCCCAAGGAACTGCCAGATAGGAGAACAAAGGGATGCCTCAGCACCAAACTCTCAAAAATACAGTACATTAGGTAAAAGTACAAAATCTAATGCTAGTATTGGTCCTATTGGATAGCGCCAACCTCCGGTGACTGCAATATTTTCCAACAGAAGCCAAGCAACAAAGACACCAATCAGAAATTTTTGGAAACCTTTGTTTGAATTGCATTATGGTGTTCTGAGCAATTAAGTCTTTCAATTTAAAGCAGAAATTTGTAGTATTGCTTACTCATATCCGCTTTATTTTTGCCTTTGGATATAAGCAAATCAACAAAACATATTCATAATGAAGTTCCATAGTGTATGCCCTTTGTTGATGGCATAGTATTGATTGAGGAAATTAGGAATTAAAACTAAATTAGAAACATGGAAAGACGATTTGCAATAAAAAAATTTTGATATAAGTATCAAGCAATTCAATACATCCAGTACAAATTTCATCCAAGAGACCTCAGCAATACCTTTAAGAGTGTCTTGTACGCCTCCAGCAATCTGTTAGCAGCTGGCCCAAACCCATGCAGTTGAGATACCTCCATCATGTGTGTCCAGGGACGAATTTCCTGCAAATAGCAGAATTATGAAAACACATACATATATGTACATGTCATCACATTCATATAAGCACATTGAAAATACACACAGACGGCTATTACAAGAAGTTTCTGCACAAAGCCTCTTAACAATTATAGTAGTACCATAATAGCCACAAATCCACATGATCTCGCACATCAGCATATAGATCCTATGTCTTAAACATTTTCAACTAATGATAAAGCTACATCATAATCAAGAAACCATGTGAAGTCCCACCAGATAGTATTGTTTCTTAATTCATCATATACAGAAAATACTTTGGAACTTGGTCACTAAAAGAACAGAATCCATTGATTGACTGGGTTCAGACAGAGAAGAAACTTGAGATGACAGCATATCAAGACTATAAAGTGAATGTGAGACCAGAAAACAACCATGGTGTAAATCGTATTGAAGGATCTTGCAGTTTCTAAAAATGATTCCAGATGTGCTCGCAATTTTGCTTCCACCTCCGCATAATCTTCATCCGGATTATACGCATGCTAGATGCCAAAAACACAAAAATGAATGTCAGCCAAGCACAATATTAACGTCACAAATTTACTGTACAAAACTAATTCGGTGAAGGAAGCTGATCACGTTGCTAAGTAATGCTGCATTATAGAAGGCAAACGGTGTTAGCTAAGGAGTTGGGACAAACCTTCGATGCCAAATCATCAACCATTTCTTAAAGACTCAAAAGTCTATTTGATTGATCTGAAAGTTGTTTTTCCAAATCAGATATATCTGGCCTGCAAGTGAACTTTGATTAAAGGAACAGAAAGTTACTATACCTAGTGGAGAAAAGAAACTCAGAATCAAATAGTATTCGTTCCAACATCCTCCTTTCCTTTCCTAGGGTAGACTGGTGTTTATGTATAACAGGGTGTTCAACATAGGCACTTAAAAAGAGGACATATGATGAGAATCTAATATACAAATATAGGGTTTAATGGAATGAGCAAGTTTTATTGCTGGTTGCATATTCAACGAAGGCGTGTCTAATACCAATCCTCAACTATTGCATGTCCAAAAAAGATATGACGAACTCCAAGAGTTTATGAGAGATGATTTCAAATGCACGTGTACTCATTAGAGGTCTTCCAAGTGTCATAGTAGCAAAAATAGTCCACTATTAACACCTCTTGCATGGAACTAACCAGTGTGCAAGCTTACTGTGGAAACTGAGCATACATGCATAGTACATTGTTATAAAAAATTAAGAAAATATTTTTATAGTGCGTGTTTTAAAATGTATGTAATTATAGAAAAAGATGAAGCGATTCAAGTAAGACTAAAGATTATTTAAAGCAGATAGAAAAGGTATGTTGATAAGCAATCGAAACATTAAAAATTTGTGATGGGTGATACTTATGTTGATAAGCAAATTAAATATTTGAAGATCTGCAATGAGGGATTAGACATTTATGAGAATATGACACGAAAAATATGTATTGAGAATTGGAAATAAGGGAAAATTTAGCCTGAGAAACATTGGACCTTATAAGATTCTAGGAAGGGTTGAAGCTACAGCTTACCGATTATATTTACTTTCGGAGTTGTCTCGCTTACATAACATATTTCATGTTTCTATACTCCAAAAGTATATACTCAACTCATCTCATGTATTGGTTGAGCAACCTTTAGAGTTAAAAGAAAATATGACTTACATTGAGGAGCCAGTACAAATTTGGACTTGTCGAAAAAAGGTATTACGTAATAAGACCAATCCGTTAGTAAAGGTCTTGTGGAGGAGTCACTCACTTGAGGATGCTACTTGGGAAATTGAGGAGAATATAAAAGAGTAATATCCTTATCTGTTTTCATCACGTAAGTAAATTTTGGGGACGAAATTTTATTTAGGAAAGAAGAGTTGTGAAACGTGAGCATACATGCATAATACGAGGATATAAAAAATTAGAAAAATATATTTATATGCATGTTTAAATATGTATGTAATTATAAAAAAAAATTAATTAAATTAAAATTAAAAAAAAATTGGATTTGACATATTTACGAAAATGTCAGTGCATGACATTTCCTTCCAAGTTGCTGCCGGGTTGCACCTGGAGGCTCCCCATCAATTTGCAACACTCTAGAAGGTTGAGAGGCTACTAAAGGCCTCTGCTAAGCGTGTGGATCAAGTAGTATCAGTGGGAAGAGAGAGAAACCGAAGAGAGAAGTTAGTGAGAGAAAGAGAAGGTGTGAGGAATAAATTTTGGGAGAGGCTTATTCGAGCATCAAGGGGTAAGTTTCTATCCTAATTAGGGTGCTAGGAGTCCATTAATGATGCTTAAAACCTGCTTTGATCATTGTTTGAGAATCAATTTTCATTTTAAAATTTTTGGATTTTAGTTGATATAGAAATGGGTTCGAGTTTTTGTTTGATTTTAGCTTGAATTGTGGTTTGTAAATGATTTATGGGTGTTTATCATGAAAATTGAAGGTGGTTTTACGGGTTTTCGTGGCGTGTGGTGGTGAGATGAAAAAACCCTCACGGTTTTGAATTTTAAAAATTTGATTTTTGATAAACTTAATTAAGTTTTGAAAAGGGTCTTGGGTCTAGCTAATTTGAACCCAAGGAATCCATTTCCGGCCTCGGAATTGGATTTAGAGGTTGTTTGGGGGGTCAAATGGTCGGTTGCAGGTCTGACCTTGTTTTAAAAATCAACTTTTGAGCTAATTTTGACCACAAATTCGTTGAGTTTGAGGGAACTTTGAGGGGTTTGGTTTATATGGTATAAAACTAGGTTTGTAGGAGAGCAATTTAGGCTCACTGAAAAAACTTGAGAAACGATGGAGTTATGGGTGTCCAAAGTTGGTTCATCAGCTGAAAATAATGTTAGAGTCAGCCTGTTATTATGACTCTTGAGCCTACTTTGACTCACTTTTTGGAAAATTGGAAAGAGTTTTAATGCAAACCAACACTTGCATGTCAAAATAGATGTGAAGAAGTATAATTTAGGATATTGAATCATGTAAAAATGTGAAGAAATGAGATAGAAAAAGGTGCTCAAAGTTGACCAAAAACATGAAAAATCAGACTTGGTCACAAGCCTGAGAAGAAGATGAAGTTGGACAAGAGACCCCTAGACACCGGACGGAACGTGAGGGCGTGTCCAATGTCCGATCGACCTCTGGTTGGTGCCAAAAGTTCTGTAACGTCCGTGCGGAGATCTGAGTAAAATTTCAAGTTGAACCGACAGCTGGATCAAAATAAGGATTAAAATGACTGTTTTGGCCTTCGAGGTCAATTTGACCTAGTTTTTGGGTGATTTTTGAAAAATAAATTTTATATTCATTCTTAAGTCGGTTAATTGAGCATGTGAATGAAATTTCATTAAAAAATAATATTGTTTTATTTTTGGACTGTTTCGGATCAAAAAGCAATGTAGGGTAGGATTTCTCAAATTCCGGATCAGTTGAAGATTTTCAAATTCATTTTAGAATCATATCTTACATTATTTATGAATGTTTAGCATATTTTAAAACTTATAATTGGGTTTCTGAATTTGGGCTAGAAATCACGGATCCGGATTAGGGTTTTGAGTGTGGTAACGCACAGTGGTCCAAAATAATGGTTTTGACCATATAAAATGAGATTGTGGAGTCCTTTTAAACAAATTGTAAGTGCACATACATTGAGTGGCAAAAAGGGTTTACATTCTAGTTTAAGGTTGTAGAGGGTACTCATTGAGTCCATAAACTCTTAAGTGGTTAGTTGGTCTCCAAACTTGGGTACTGAAGTAAAGTTGTGGTGAATATGAAACGTCAGGAAGCATATTCATATGTATTTATTTTCATAAACTAAGTTATTTTTGAGTCGATACTTATTCGCATTTGTGCATATACAGATTGTTAGCGTCGGAAGCTATTACATCGGTTACACCTAGGTATCGAACATAAAGCTGAGTGGTGTGTTGGTTGGCGGTGACAAGTGAACTGTACTGCTTCATAATAATTAGAAATAAAAGTATATAACTACTATGAGTTATTTTACTATATGAAATTAAGTTTTGATGACTTGATTTATGTCGAATTGAACAAATAATGAATCAAATATGTTTTATTGATAAGCTTGTGATTTTAGTAGTATCTACTATCCTAGAGTTGTTGATAGCTTGACATGACTTACATGTTGTTGATTTGAACACTGCGCAGTTGTAGTGAGACAGCTTGATACTGCTTAAATGTTGCAGATAACTTGACACTGTTTAAATGTTGTTGATAACTTGACATTGCTTAAATGTTATTGACTCATAGAACATGTGGACTATTTATTATGTTGTTATATTGGCAGTGATTATGAGATTTCAAAGTAAATTGAAAACACTTTGATTTTTGTCATTCTCCTCAGATTGTGAACATATTTTGGTGATAGGATATTTGATCCATATTTTTAATATTTTCATTTATTATGATGCGCAGTACACTCAAGAAAATATTTATTTTCAAGAAGTTGAAGTTTAGAGTTAGGTCCACTATAACACTAACAGAGTCAAAATAGGAGGTTAAGAAAACTGGTTGTGTACATATTGTACAGGAGTGTTCATTTCGTTGTTGATGTTAGGGATAGATTCAATCAGCCGTCTTACTCTTGATGTAATCCAGAATAATGTTCTCTCTCTCTTTCTCTCTCTCTACGCACGTGTGTGTGCGCGCGTGTGTGTGTGCCTATATTTGTGCAAGATAGACATTCCAACTTCTTAAGTATTTATAAAACCCTAAACATCAACCTAGAACAAACTTTACAAACCCTGTCCCTTCTCAAACTTGCCCCTCCTTGGATAGACTGAAAAAAAAGTTCCTACATTTTCAATCTGAGGACAATCTTGGCAAATCACTTATCCACCACTACCATGCATAACAAATAGTATGCCAGCAGGATTATATCATGCCCTCATTCAGGATCACAGTGAAACCATCAGTTCAACAAGTCCTTTCTCAATTTATCAGAAAGATGAATCCATGAGGAAAAATCGAGCCAGTAAAATAAACTTACAACGGATATATAGACTGAATCTGCACATCTGCGGGGAACAACTTGCACTCTTCAGAGAAAATCTGAGCTTGTCGTTCAGCAATAGAATCTATCAGTTGTATATCCTTCGCCACCAGCTCATCAACACTAAGGGGCCAAAAGCAAAATCAAAATCAGGAATAAATAATTTTATGAAAGCAAAGAGGTTAGATTGAAAAAGTGGTGGGATTAATAATTTGGATTGTCAAAAAATAAATAATTTATTACGGTCAATCCAAAATGGATTGGAAATCATCTCAACCTCCAATCAGGATTATCAGCATAGATGCTTGCCTCCACAAGGTCTACAATAAGGCGAAGCATTTCAGTACGATCTTCATAACTTCCTCGTCCCTGCACAGAAGGCGCAGAATTTAAACAGCTCACACCAAAAAAAAAGGTATCTTGCGTGCTAAATAATTTTCAAAATCCGATATTCAAGTATAACGCACTATACATGTCACATTCGTTTGGTTTTGGTTTTGGAAAAATTTGTTCAAGGTCTCTCAGTCACTTTCATAACAGGAATTAGATTAGGGTTTGGATAAGGAACTTCAGCAATGTCCCGATGACACATATTCCTCTCAAATATCTTATAAACATTTCCCATAATGCTCCTAAAAGGAATAAGGTTCACAAGTGTGAACATTTTCTTATAAACATTATCAAATATCTTATAAACATTATCTAACCTCGTCATTTCAATAAGTACAGAGAACTAAGAGGTCATTTTTGGTTCATAACTATGAGGTACATAACAGCAAATTCATAACAACCTATTTTGAAAACAAAACTGGATAGAAACCATTGTCAACCATGTAATTCAAAGAAACCAGGATGTCCGAATATTTACACGGGGACTGTAACGGCTTAGTGCAAGGAAGGTTTTCCTTGTCTTCACCTCCTTAGCAGCATAATGTAGTTGGAGAAGGAGTGGTAAACTTCAGCATGATTAAGATCCACTAAGTCAGAACATTCCCCAAAGAAGATTTGCTCAACCTTTTATGCTAGTTGTTCCAATTAACAGCAGACAGTAGACCATAGTCGAGGATTAGTATAATATGGTTCCTATACTGCATGATCCTATATTTTTTGAGTCCTTAACTAGTTAACCAGCCACTCATATTTTACAGAATCCACCACTGCAATCACTCGATAGTGTATATAATCTACTTTGGTAAGAAAAAGCACACTAGGATAGAAGAAAATTGACTAATAGTGTATTAATGTTGAACCAAATTATATAATTATTTAGGTACTCTTTAATTTGTCCAACAGACAATATTATTAGAGGATCACTCCATCTAAACATTTTTGGTCTATTAAGGCCTAAAGATTAGAACATCCAAATTGACAAGCTTGTGGATCACTTCTACAACCACATCACACATTGAAAAGAGGGACAAAAAAAACACCAGTGTACCCTTCACCGGGCTATTAAGCAACACTCAATACCCATTACTATTACAAATCACCATGTACGAAAAATAGAACTCACTTGGATGGCCTCTGTATCTATGGTCGTGGTAATACTCAGAAACTTTGCAATCTCTGCTAAATCTGCAACAACAAGAGATACGGAAACACCTATTCAGATTGCAGAGCAAAAAACCAACAAAACAAAAAAAAAAAAAAGGAAAACCCCAAAAAGATACATGTTGCTTCTCAATCACAATATACTTGGACATAATTTACTGACACTCGATGGACCCACAATCAATCCAATAAATTAAGCCAGCAAATTAAGTTCAAATAGCATTATTTATACAGAATTTGGCCGTCCAAACACTAAGAAGACCACGCATAAAATAGCAACCCAATTAACCTCACCTCGATTGAATTGCATACAATTCAGTAGTTCATAAACAAATTCTAGCAAATGATTGTAATATAAATCTGTTTACATACACATATGTAAAGAGTATTACATTGGATGCGAGAGGTCTCCTCGTCGTGATCAATGGCGTCGCCTTGTAGATTTTGTTGAGAGAATGGTGACTTGTCGCCCAATAGCCTACAATTCACCACAAAGATGATGACTTGAATAAATGTATGTACAGAGAGATAAAGAGAGAGTGGGGAGGGTTTTAGAGAGAGAGAGAGAGAGAAACACACATACTTGAAGAAAAGCCATTCAAGAAGGGCGTAGCGCTCCATGCCGGTGAAAAGGAGAGACTGAGCAGGGGCATTGGCTCTTGGGTAATTCAACATTGCTAATTTCTTCTGAATTTCTTCCATCTGCTTCGCTGCCATTCGATCCTCTACACACTACACTAGAGAGAGAGAGAGAGAGACAGAAGATTTGATTTGATCTTTACTTAAACTCTCAAAACTCTTTTTGTTTTGTTTATTTGATTTGATCTGTGTTTAAAATCCCTCGATCTTTTTCTTTTGTTTATATAGAGGGGAGTGACTAAATTTTTTTTTTTTGAAACCAAGGAGTGACTAGATTTGGGACGGTGTCATTTGAAAATAATTGAAAAAAGTTTTAAAAAATAAATTAAATTAAAAAAACATAAAATTTCAAAATTTTATTTTTAAAATATTTTGAAAATATTGATCTAAATAAATATATAATAATTTTTTAAAATATTTAAAAATATTAAAAATTTAATTCAATCACTAATTCATTTCAATCTCCTCTCAAAACAAAAATGTTTTGACCGTTTCAAAAACAAAAATTTGTTTTATCAAGTTTTCTGGTTTGTTACATCCACATTGGTAAAATTTCATCAATTTGATATCTTTCTTATAACGAAAAACTTATTCAACGTGGAATGACATTAGATTAATTCTAAATCTCGAATAAACTTATTCAACGTAAAACATTAGTTTGTTGCACCCATCATCGTCGTCGCCCCACCACCACCGTCGCCCACTGCCACCGCCCACTACCATAACTTACCACCACTCGTTGCCCACCGCCACCCACCACCATCATTACCCCCGCACCACCACTACTAACCATTATCATCGTTGCCGGCCACTTACAGTTGCCACCACCACCATAGTCGTTGCCACCCACTACAACCATCACTGTCTTTTACCACCATCGTTGTCGCCTACCACCACTACCACTATTCATTTCCATTACAACCGGTGTTTAAATTTTTTTTTCTCTCTTCTATCTTTGTAATTTAATTTTAGATGTGAATACAAATATGTTAATTGTTGACCATTTTTATTACTCCGTACCTTCAGGCACGAGAAATAATTAGTTTTAAAATATTAGTTGAGGCACACTTGCATCGCACGTGAATAATTTTGATTTATAATTTTTTTTTGTGATATGCTTTACAATATTTATTTGTTCAATAAAATTTTTAGACGTAGGTTTTGTACTATTTATTATTTACGAACATGAGACTTTGGAAGGGAATGCAGAAGAACAATTGTATATTTGAGAAATAATTGATAAATTGAATATCATAGCCTATTTAATTCAAAAAAAAAAAAACTTTCTAATTCCAAAAAAATGTCTCTTCAGCTCCCACCAAAAATAGGTAAAAGATAACATAATTTTTTTTAAAAAATGCAAGAATACAAAACTAAAGAGAAAAAGCAAACATGAAAAGTCTTGTGGGATATTATTTAAAAAGTTATCATAATAAAATGAACCATAATGTCCACTTGACTTCAAACTAAATTATCACAATAAATTACTAAAATAATTAAAAAAAAGAACTAAGTTTGCCAGAATAGTATATAAAAATAGAAAATCAAAGTGAAACTAAGTTTCAAAACGTAAAAGAAATCTAATTTTAAATTCTTCAAGAAAACTAAAGTGGAGTGGTGCAGAGAAAAATAACAATGAGTTATGTGGTCAGCCTTAGTGGGCCAACCAATTTTGACATGATGAACATTGAAAATTTTTGCTTCCCTTTGGATCTGAAAAATACTTTCATATGATGAATAGGCAAAATTCTTATTGCCAAGAACTCTCATTTAGCTGCGCAAAGATTTATTTTTTCCATATTAATGTCTTTTAGTATTTTACTCATATTACTCACTAAAACACACCAATGCAATCAATTTACCACAAACAATTAGCTCTTAGTTGAAACCATAATTAATTAAGCTTTCTCATTATGGGACCGCGGAAGCTTTAGCCAACTTGAATATCACCGGAGGCCCCATCTCGAAAGGAGAACCATATTCAAGTGCTTGGAGAAGATGGAAGGATGGTTTTGTTGTTTCCTTGTCAATGAACTTTAAATAACCTTGAGAATTTGTTAAATAAAAAATAGATAGAATAAATTAGAGAAAATGATATGCTTGCAGAACTTGAAAAAAATAGCTTAAAGAGAAGGATATACTTGAAATTTTACCTGCCAAACTTTTATTGCATAATTCATCAATAAGTGCCTAGAAAAAAAAAAGTGAAATTCATTGTTATAGGATTGAGTTGGCTTCTATAGAATCATGGCTTCAACATTGACTTAGAATTGACCAACTTTAATAGAATCATGCCAAAAGGAATTAGAGGGTACAAAGTTCACACAAAGAATATAATAACTATGTGATAGATCGCATTATACATATAAATACATTTCAGGAACAAACTATAAAAAAGGGATACGCAAAACATAATAATGTCAAAAACTCGATAACAAAATTAAAAACTTTCCATCACTAACAACCCAAAAATAAAAATAAAAAAGGTACCATATTGCTTTCATGGGTTGCATTGACCCTCTCATGAATAAGGTCATCAAAGAGATACCCAGCAACCATATCATCTTCATTGTTCCATGCCTGTAATGGCGCTATATTTATACGGACTTCAAGAACTCATTTTAGTTAAGTAAAAGTATGAGATTAAATCACGAATAACGTACATCAAACATGAGCAGTTAAATTTGTTGATTACCTATTATTATCAAAGTCATATCCCAAGTCTTAACTCTAAAAAATCCTGCCAAATACGAACCTGTTGCAGTCCACAAAGAAGCAAACCAAGAATGAGAAGAACAAAATATATTCCCAAAAGATGGTGTTGCATTAGTAGCAACAATGACATAATATTTCCTTAACTCCTACCACAGTTATTGGATAAAGATAAGTTTCAACAAATATCAAAAAACTCCAATAACATGAGTTATGTATTTTAATTTTGTTGTATATGAGCTTTTGATGTCAACTTATAAAAAAGTGGTACCAGCTCGTTTCTCATAGTTTTGCTAGAAAAAATAAACATGGAGGACTGAATGTTTAGTAGGAGCCCCAAACATGTAATCTGGTATGTCATTACTTTTGAGTTTGGCACCTTTCTCATTTCATAGTAGAACATGAAGGGAAAAAATAATATGACTGATCAATATACCAAAAAAATTATGTGGTTTTCAATTCTTATATGAGAAAATATTAAAGGAAAAATTCATCGAGAACTCTTGTGATTTACCCTAACTTCAATGGGAAAGTGTGAAACATGAGCAGCTAGTTTATGATGTACTACTTAGTATTGTTATTCAATCTTGAAATTCAACGTGCAATAGTGAAATATGTTTGTAAATTAAATAAGGGGGAGTAGAACAAGCACGGTCTTTGACTTCTTTCGCATACAATTTGGCATCAATCCAAGCAAGGACTTCATGCATTCCAACATGTACATAGATATAAAACTACTTAAGTCTACAAAAAGAATTAAAACACTCAATCAATATCGAAACTAACACTTATGAAGTTATGGTGATCAAAAGGAAATTATGCAATGTTTGTATACAAATGATATGAATGACATTTTGTTAAAGCCCAATAACTTTGATCAAGGGCTAGATCATTCACATAAAAGGAGCTAACTAATCTGACACATGATGGGGACTACCCCTTGTTTTCTCACGTGGCAATTTGTTAAGAGTTAAACATCCACCATTTGGGGGCTTTTAACATGAGAAGGATAAAAAAATATACTTTTAAGCTGTGAGTTTGGAGTTTTCGTCACTCAAATATGTGACCCGAACAATAAAACCATTTTAATTTAACAAAGAGTATGAAAGGTAAGTTTATACAAATAAAGTTAGTTGAAAATATTGCTAGCAATGCTTGAACAACACACGCTTAAATGCCTGACTAATTTTTTTTTTGGTTACATAAACCCTTTGCAATGAATGCGCAAGGCGTGTGTATTGAGTACAATTTTTTTTTCATTGTCTAAAACTATAAGCATCATGATAGCTAATTAATTAAGAAATTAAAAAAACCCAATACATCCATTAAAAGAATTAAGCTAACCGAACATCAAACCAAGATTTTAAACGTATGTGCTAGTATGCTATAGACACATTCTACTGTATTTTTTTTTTCGTTGGTGGCAAGAGAGGTGGGGGCAAAAGAGAGCGCTTAGAAACCACACCGATAGATCTTCACTGGTGGAATCATGAGGCTCCTGACTGTACTCGTTACTCCCCTCTAGAAGGAACCTAGTTAGGCTAACATAACAGTCAACCACTGAGCTCTAATGTAGACTCTAAGACTTGAACATCCAACCTCAGGGTGAAAAGTTCGACCAGTACCCCACTCGGTGGTACATTCCACTATAATTGCTATAGTATACTCCTATTCAATTTCTTGTAATGTTAGAGCATCACCAACCATGTATAGGTAATGGTAAGAGACCCACCTGAACATAATATGACACATTCGGATCCATGGTGGGTGCTATCATTCGGATCCACCTTTGTTCTCTAATTTTACCCCTTTGCTACATATCACACCATGAAACATAATACAAAAGACACCATGGATATCACAGATAAATTAGGAAAATCAATAGAAAAAAAATACCCAATCACCTAATACAGTGCATCATAAAGTACTTTTAATTTTTCCCAAGAACAAACATTCCAAACCATTGATGTCAATGGCAACCTAATGATGCAACTTCCAATGAACAAATTCATTAACAACCCAAAAAAATGGCAACCATATCTAATAGAATAAAATAACATGATAATGGCATGTAGGAATAAAATGAATGGAAAGAGTGAAAATTGGCCATAAACAAAGATAAATTTGTAAATTGCTTCTAAGATAAAAGTTGAATAGACTGGAGGGCAGTTTACAAAGGCAACCAAATAAACCTTTTATAGAACTAAAAAGAATTGAAAAAGATATCAATTAATACAGAACAAAACACCTTTAAGCCTTACTCAAGAACTACTCTATGATCAATAAATTGAGCAAAGAAAATTAGCCGAAATACATCCTATAACCGTACAGGACTAAACACTGCAAGGCAAAAAAATTGATCAAACGTTGATTGCATTTCATGTAGCAAAACGTGTTTAGTTGTAAAACGATCACGAACTAAAAACCAACAAAATAAGCACCAAATAAGATACAACACTTTTCCCATTAGATTAAAAATTCAACACAATCACAACAAAATCGTTAAGTTTGACACAATCCATACCTAATAACACATGCCGAAGCTGGTAGAATTTTAGGAGGGGTGCTTTTGGAAATCAAATTTAAGAAAACATGCCTGCAATCCTAACCCACCGATCTCCTTACGCCAATTTTATAACCAAAGGTTTAAGAATCCCAATTTTGTTTCCCTCGTCAAGCAAAAAAAAATCAAAAGAACACAAATATTATCCGAAAAGAGGAATGGAGTATCTGTTGATGAAGAAACAGAGTACCGCTGGTTTGCAATGGGAACAACCATGGTGTGTCTGCGTTTGGGAGAGGAAGGGAGCAGAAGAAAAGTGCAAAACCTGATGAAGAACAACACTGCTGGGCCGTAATTATTCAAATCCCATTTGTAACTGAAGTAGCCATTGATGCGACAACCATTAATGTGTTAAATCCATACAGCTGAAAGAGGAAAGATGGAGGATAGGTTCAACCAAAAGAAAGGGAGACGAAGGGGTGCCAGTGTGCATTAGTAGTTTATGTCAAAGGCAGAGTTGAAGGGGCGACAATGTGGGGAGATTAAGGCAGTGATGTTAATGTTAGACTGACCTAATTAACGAAGTTAGATTTAGGAGAAATTAATTACATTCTGAAAGGGAAAAAATCAAAATCTTTTAGACTTAGCAGATATTTTAGAGGAACTAGTTGGTTTACATGTACGTTGCACGTAGACCATTTAAAACACAATATTTTTAATTATAAGTAGTAAAATACTTTCTCTAAAAGCCACTACCTTAATGAGTATGGATGAACCACATTTTATAAGAAAACACCATGGAAAAATCACTGATTAGACTAAATCTAATACAATGTTTAGTAAAAAGACATCATTCTCCATTTTATCCTTTTAACTATTATTTTTATAATTTTTTCATGTATTCCTAATTGCAAGATAGAGACAGAATTTGGATAATAATGAGAGTAAGTTATAACAGGAATTAAGGAGCGAACAACAAAGAAGCAAAACTAATAACAGTCTAAATACAGATGAATTCAACTATAAAAACAATGATAATTTTATGCATTGTGAATGCTTGATTTTAACCCGATTGA